CTGAGTCAAATTTTTTAAAAAAGGAAGAAAATCTTTTGGTTTTATAGTTTGACTTGTGTACTTTAGATAGTGGGGTGTTTTATTTTTCCAATATTCTAGTAAAATAACTGAGAGTAGGTACATAAAATGTCTGTTAAATGGATTCACTGGGTTGGTGATCAATTTAAGCAACCATTTTTGAGTATCTCATGTGGTCAGTCTTTGTGGGTCAGGGGGACACAGTCTGTGTGATAGAATTTACTGTAGTCTAGTGGAAGTTGCACATAGGTAATAAATGTGACATGATAAGTTTCACTAGGAGACAGAAATGGAAAACATGGAGACTCACAGAGGAGAGAATGACAAATCCACATTAGGATCAGGGCAAGCTTGAAAAAGTGCTAGCACTAAATTGGTTCTGAAGTATAACGAAGGAACCCTCACACCCCCAACGCTGGCCAGGACTACAAGGAGGAAAAAGCTTCCAAGCTTATGTAAAGACTTCAAGGTTACAGGAACTTGGTACATGTACTAAACAATTAACACTTCAAGGAAAGTGGTATAAAATGAAACCAGCCTAGGGAGTTTGGGTTTTATTCTGTGGTTATCAGCAACCAACAAAAGCTTTTAACCTACCTGGAAAGTAACATGCTTGATGTTTTTTCTCTTGAAAAAAATCCTTAAAGATGAGTGTTATAAGAGTCTTGTCCAAGAAGCCACTGCCTGCAACTTCAGTAGCTAAGGGAGGTACAGTCTTTAGTTCACACTATTAAAACAATGTAGCATAGGTTGGGTGGTTTGCAAGAATGTATTTCTCAGCGTTCTACAAGACAGACATCTGAGATCCGGGTTCTAGCACAGCTTCCAGGATGCAGACTGCTGTCTTCCTGTGGCTCACATAATGAAAATGACCGAGCCAGTTCTCTGGTTCCTATTCAACAGAGCACTAATTCCATTCCTAAGGGCACAGCACTCAGGACCTAATTAGCTCCTGATTATCTCTCTGGTAACACCCCCAGATGTTACCATTGCAATTAGGAGTTCAACATATGAATTTTTTGAGCACATAAATGTTGAGTTTCTTGTCGATATGGTTTACAAGGACTCTCAGAAGTAGTAGAGATAGGAAGCAACAATCTTTAAAATAGACTCAGCAGACTGTGATGATTGATTCGTTACAAAGTTGATAAAACTGAAATTCTTGTACTCATAAGTCATTAAATTCGGAGCACAAGATGTAAATACCATTTTTATTTATTCAATACAGCTTTAAAGTGTCTTTCATGTACCAAGAGCTGTATAGGAATTTGAGAGAAGAAATATTTTTTCCATTAAAGTGGACCTGTACAATAACAAAGTTTGTTCTAGTAGATAATTAAAATTTTTGACTTAAGAGTCTACAAAATACATGAAATTAAAATCATTGTTGGAACTTGCCTATAATTAAAGTTAATGAAAATATCTCTAAGTGACAGTATTTGGTCCAAAATTGGAAGGTCTTACCTCTGGGAGTCTTTAAAACAGAAAAAGCCACAGGATTAATAGATAATGGTTAGAATATAAGACAAGTATCAGGATAGTTTCTAGACAGAGAGAGGCAAGGCATGGTGAACACTGCCAAGTGTTATAGCCATGTTGTATAGTTCTAAAAAAAGATGATTGAATTTAGAAACTGGAATAATATTGTTGATTTTGGTGAGAACATTTTGTATTGTCTGATAGTGAAGACACTCACATTTAAAGGTCTGGAAATAAAAGGTTGTGGCAAGAAGGATTCATAATATTTTCTTGAAGATGATAGTTTAGAGAACAAATAAAGTTACCATCTGTTAATGTCACATTATCAATAGAATTTTGGAATTAGTATGGAGGAAGGAAGGGGCAGAGTAGATCTTTGCAGCTACCATTCTTAAAGCAGCCAATGGGAAAATAGATTGGCATGGTGCCTATTACATACATTTCAATTATGTCATACAACATCTTAGCAATGTAACCATAATGCAATTTTAGTCATTCACTCATTGATTCATTCTTTCATTTGTTCAACAAAAATCATGAAGCACTTGATAAGTGTTATACACACAGATGGTATCCATGTTCACATGTCTTGTGTGTTTAGGGGAATGGGAGAGAACATTAGTGGGAAGAGAGGAGGCTAATATAAAAAGGCTTTCAGATGCAGAGACTAACATTAGAAAGCTGGAGAGGGCAAAAATTTATTTCCTGTTCATCCAAGTTGGTTAAGTACAAAGAGGCTAGTGTGTATAGTCTAGTAAGGTTGGTAAGTTACTATTATTATTAGTGTGTATGGCATTTAAAGCAGGAGAATGATAGAGAACACTTCTGTGTAAGTCTGGGCAAGTTATGGAGGTACGACCCTGGATACTGTATCTGATGCCTCACCTTTTACTCTCTGGTGTTGCCCTGCCCTTCTTTCTAGCTGGTAAACTAACTACTGTATCCTTCCACCATGATGTTCTTACTTGGAGCCAACCAACCATGTTCCGAATCCCTGGAACCATGAGCTAAATTAAAACTGTCTTTGAAATGGCGGGTGTCAGGTATTGTGTTACAGCAATAGAAGAAACAACAGCTAATGCAATAGAAAGCCAAAATCAAGAGTTGACTGTAGAGGAGGTTTTGCAACAGATTTTTTTTTTTAATTTAAAACTGTGACTACATCAAGATGTAGAATATTAATGGTAGCAATAGAAACATCATATCCTATATTTCTCTCTCTGAAAATATACCTAACCACTATATTTTCAAAAGTGTGATACAGATTTCAAAAAGAAATCATTTCATTAGCAATAGCACATTATGAAGTTAATATTTAATCTTATTTATTTTTTGTTGATAACGGTGTCCATCATTTATGAAAATGACATTAATTGAGTATTATTCCTGTACAAAGGTATTGACAGAGATGGTTTAAAGATAGCAGATTTCTGTCTGGAGCTTCATCTAGATCATTTTCAGTTTTGAAAAAAATTGACTGTGATGGTCTGGAGAAACAACCTAGACTTACATTGAAAATAACTATAAACTCTTTTCAGCAGACATATTTGGAGGTAGGTGAATTGAAAACTAGAAATGTCATAAAAAGGAACATAGTATTAGTGGAAGTAAGAAAAAGGCTGGAGAAAAGGAAGATAGAGAGAGAGAAAACAGGAAGTATTAGCAAAATCTGCAGGATGAAAACTGTTATAATTCAGGATTATATCTTTGAATAAACTGAATGCTTATTTTGTTTCTGGTTTACCTTGTGTGACACATGGTGTTAATGTATTGTATAGGAAAACACACGAAACCCAACAATGTGTTTTGTTTAGTTTTTCTGTGACATTCTTTTTTTTCCTAAAGACAGAAATCATAGGTGTTTATCATTTACTTTAAGACAATAAGTGCAAAACAACAGAAAGTTAATGCAGAATCTGTTTGTGTGATTGCTAAATGAGAACTTTCCTTGGGAAATATGGAAGAGAAAGGTAAGTGACATAGGGGAATCACCTTGAATGCTGCCAAACACAGCCCCAGCTCCACCTGGAGATGGCAAAGGTGGTGGTTCCAGGTATACTCAGACATCATGAGAACATCTTACAGTTTGCCATGTCTCTGATTTGGAGGATACAGCAACAAGTAATTTCCTAGCTGGTTTCTATGTCAATAACTAAGAGTCCCTATCGGGAGCCAATGAGGACTTCACCAATTCCCACTCAAGAAGGCTTTCTGCTAGGTGGAAGGAAAATACTTCAACGTGAGACCATGGGCAGATTCCTAGATACAGAAGCTCAAGGTGATTGGGCTGTTGTAAGCTGCTAACCAGTTGGAAGGAGGCATTATCAGAGGTCCCTACTGAGATAAATATTTCTGAAAATCCATAAAACCATTTTATGAGTGATCCAGAAGACCCCATTACAGTCCAAACAGTCTCTGAGAACTGTTGTTATCCTCAGCCTTTGTGTGATACCCTAAGTTTTTCATCCTGAAATGCCCAGAAGCAACAGCAAGTAGGGGACAAACCACAAACCAGTGCCTTGCACCTGAGATGAGTCTACACTGAGGGATCAAAATACTTTCATTGTGTTTTAAACAAATTTTGTTAATGTATGTTTGCAATAAATAATAAACACATTTATCTGAGGAGCCAGCGATGTACATATCATATTTTAAAACTTTTTACTTCTCCTCCTCTCTGTCCTTCTCTTTTCCTCCATCTCTAGATCCCCTTCCTACCTGCCAAAGGTCTTCCTCCCTGTTTTCTATTATCATATTTTAATTTTTCTTTAAATATTTGTACCCTGGCTTCTTGAGAGAAATCATGTAGTATTTAATCTTTTGTGTCTGCTTTATTACACTTAGCTTTATGGTCTCAAGTTTCATCCATTTTCCTAAAAATGACTCCAATATGTCCTTTGTTATGGTACAGTCATACTGTATTATGCATGAACTCCATATTTGCTTTACACATGCATCTATTGATGGCTAAATAGATCGCTTCCAAGATTTAACTATGATGAGATGTGCTGCTATTAGTAGGGGCATGCATGTGTCACTGTAATGTGATGTCTTTTAACTTTGTCACGAATATATCTAGAAAAGGAATAGCTAAGGCAAATGGGATTTTCATTTTTAGTTTGTTTCCACAGTGGTTATTTTAGCTTACATGCCCACCAAACATATAGAAGGGTTCCTCTCCCCACGCTGTAGTCCATCCAGCATTGGTTGTTTCTTGAGCTGCTGGCTGTATTAACATTCTTTCTGAAGTAAGAAGAAATTTGTGTTGTTTTATTTGCATTCTCTGATATAGCTGAAGATGCAGAACATGTTTTCCTGTGCTTATTGGCCTCTTTTACTACTTTCAAGTTACATGTAATTAACAGAAAGCTCAGAATTTTCATCTTGGACTTTTATGACCATTTAAATAATTATGTGTTATCAAATAGCTGCTATTAAAGGGATAGTTAACAAAATAAAATTGCTTTATGTTAGTATCTTACAAAGTCTATTTTATATTATAGGACATTAAATCATCCTTCTCTTATGATATCAGTAAGCACATGATGTTATATCTGAGAAACAAAAAAAGAGTGGCATGATGGTAAGTTTCCCCAAGTTCTGTATGCCAAATATGAGAAAGGGATTGGAATTTGACAGCTGTATCTCTTTGTCAGCTTTACTTGTTAGAGACTTAATTTTCCTATATGTAAAACAAAATCACAGTTATCTTATTTTAATGAGCATCATTTTGCCTATTTTCAGATTTTCTCATCAATGTACTGATATATGTTAGCACAAAACATTTTCTTCTCTGTGATGCTATTTTAGATGGTAAATCTTCAGTTATAAGATCTCATCTATCAAACCCAGCCTCTAGTCTCTTTATGTCTTCTCTTTTCGTGTCAATCTACTGTATTTGTGTTTTGGGAAATGTGACTCTATTTTATTAAAGTCTATTTCTGCATGCATCTTCTATTTCTTTGAATTTCTAATTTTAAAAAAAACTAATAATTTAGACATTTTATCAAATCATTCTTGAAATGACAACAGTGGTCTTTGTCTCAGCCTCTGGCTCTGTCACCGTCCCTCTCTCTGTCTCTCTTTTTGTGTCTCTCTCTGTCTCTGTCTCTTACAGTATTTTAATCTCTAAATTAGTAACGTGCATCTGTTTATCTCCTCCCTCCCTCTGGTGCTACCCTCTCACTCTTTCTTCTCCAATTTTTTTGCACCCTGTTCCTTCAGACTCGACATCTTTGACATTCAATGTCATCTCAAAGAGCATAAATAAAATCACTTGTTTTGTTTTTTCTTATTCTCCTTTTATGTTCTTCTTTTGGTCAAATTCCCCCAATTATTCTTCCAAATGATGTTGTAATCTGTCTACCCTTTCACATCATCATGTCAGCTCTTTTGCTCTTACCTAGGTTATCATCATAAATCTTAAAGGGCATTCTCATCACTTGGCTTTAACACTTCAAGCTGTGCTGTTAACTGAACTTTCTGAAATCCATATCTGGTTCAGTCATTTCCCGGTAAAAAATCTTCATGCTATCCCACAGTACGACTTGCAACTTTCCACTTAGCATTTTGAGACCATTTACAACGTCCGTCAACTGCCTTATCCATGTCGCCTCCTATTCTCCATATGAAGGCTGTTTTGTTCTGTTGTCGTTATTTTTTCCATAATTAGTCACACAGCTTCACCCTGCTTAGTTATATGGATGCTGTACCTCCAGAACAGCCTTGCCTTTCTCATCCAATTGTTAAATCTCATCCCTCACACTCCGTTCACATATCAAATATTGAATTCACTTCTATAAGCAGCTTCCTGTAGAACTCTAAGCAAATTATCCACCCCAAGTTGCACTTTCATATGCTCTCCTATGTTCTATTTTCTTTAGTTTGTGGTCTGAGAAATAACCAGTGCCTGATGGCTGAAATTTCCTGATCCTTATAAACCCCAGTGAATAAAGTGAGTGCTCTGGGTTAGTTATTAAAATAGTTAATGGAATTTCAGAGTACGCAATGCACCAGGCACTAGATGCTTTACAGACATTTATTTTATCTAAGCCCAACAACCCTACAATTTTTTTTTTTTTTTGTAGAAAGACACTAGGTTTATTCATTCTAAGTTCCCAATGTCTAGAACTGTGCTGGCCCCTGCAGAAGCTCAAGAGCTCTGTTTAGACCAATGGAATGAATGAATAAATGAATGAATGAGCTCTAAGGAAGAAAGCATCACCACAATTTCAACAGAGCATGTAACAAGTGAAATTAAGCAATTTGACAATTACGTATAAAACATAGTAGTTGAAACCATGTCTGATAACACCATACTCAAAGCCTTGTAAGCTTAATGTAATACTGTTTTATCAAACTGGGCTATGAAATAATTATTTAGAATCAGATTTTGGAAAACTCAGTGTAGAAATGAGTCTACATGAAGTAAAACAAACATCATTAGGGATGAAAGACAGCACCACTGCCAACAACGACATTTTAGTCTGAAATAAGATTTAAGAGCCGCAAGAATGTTTAAGTGGATTTAATTAATGCCTACAAAAATTCAAAATCAGAAAGAGGTGTTTAAGGAACTCCTTGCCCCAGTACTAAGAAAGAGTGTTTTATAACTCAAAATAGGGGAAAAAGATGTGTCAGGTAAAGCCTGGGCTTCATAGTGGGAGCAATTGTACTTTGCATTACTGTGTAAATTATATCATTGTATTTTTGACATTTACAGTGAATACATTAAAGGCCATTTTATTGTGTCTTCAAATATTCTACTCATTATCTTCTTCACATACTAGGATTTTCAAGTGAACTAGTAGAAATGCTGTTTTAAAAGTATCTTTAAAGTGTATGGACTCTCTCACATTAGTAGAAATACTTAAAGTCTGAAGAACTGAACAATACAGAAAAGATAATTTTTTGTTTTAGATTTGTAAAAAATCAAACCAAAACCAAGAACACTGTATTTGATTATCAGTAAAGCATTCTCAGTAAAAAGTTCTAGCAATTAGGAAATAATAGACTGCTGAGGTATAGAAATTTCCAGAAGTTTTTTGAGAAAGGCCAGTTCTGTCATCTCATTTTAGCTCTCCCGCACTCTCAATGGAATAATGGAGTCATTAAGAAAACACCTCTAGACCCAGGCTACATTAACCAAATCATGGCTCAAGTGCTCAATAGCTGCAGTGTCTTGCCAGTACTTGATAAATCAGTTGATCTCTGAGTGCCTTAATTGACCACTTCTGTAGAGGCAAGGACACAATCTCATAGAGTTGTTACATAATAAAATGCAAGGCATTAGAAAAGTAAAAGTAAGATTAGTTAATGGGTTGTGTGTGTGTGTGTGTGTGTGTGTGCGTGTGTGTGTGTAATAGGAAGGTAATGCCAGAAAGAAAATAGATGTAGATCTTATGACAACCCAAACTCCAATGTCTGCTTTTACATAGAAAGTTTGTTTAAGTATTATAGTAAGTAAGTAAGTAATATAATTTTATCAGCAGTCCATTATGAAAGCCAGAGGGCCTGTAAAAATGAATAGGGAATGGGCTTTGTCTTCAAATGACAAATCATATGGACACAACAATCTAAAAGCAGATAGACTTGAAATTGTTTATTTTTTAAAAAAACATGAAATGCTATCTCTTGACATGAAAACAACATTCCACTAACTTTGATAGAATTGAAATCTCTTTCCTCTTCCATTCACCAGTCAAGGCAATGGAGAGAACATGCACTTATGCTTTCCATCAGCTTTGTTCCTTATTTAATTCCTGTCTCCATAGAAAGGGGGCACTTAGCCAGTCTGAATAATAGCTCTAAAAGCATTGACGAAACAGTCTTCAACTAAAATCAGAACTTCTATCCATTTAGAACAAAATATAATTGTTTTTGCAAACCTCCAGCAAAGCAGGTTGGTAAATCCTATATTTTATCTAAAACCATCACTTTTGTCTTTTAACTCAAGGGGATTTATGTGTATTATGCATCCTCATTTGAATGTCCTGTCATTTCTTGCTTTACATTTATGACAATAGCTCAATTTGGTGAAAATTTCAATGTGGTTATGTTTGTAGTTTTGATTCATACTGGGTTTCTTGGCAGTGGAGTCCATCAAAGGAGTACATTTTGCTTACTTGACAGTTCAAAGAGAGAATTTAGATAGAATGCTTTTACTCTAAGCCAATGGGTTTCAGTGATGTGCTCTTTTCTCCAGTAGGCCAGCTTTTCATTTGCTCTAATGTTCATGAATGAGGAACTAATGACTGTAATGGTGACCTGTGAAAAAACTTTAATGGATTATGTTAAGTACATTTCCTTCCTCATTCTTAGTACATTTTATATTAGATCTGCTATAGTTTAAATGTTATCTTCTAATCTTTTTATCCTTGGTATTTTAATTGGTTCAGTACTCTGTAATGTTACATTATATAGTATAAAAATTACACATTTCTGTGAATGTGTAACTTGGTTATTTTGCAGAAAAATAACAGAGGAACATGGAACCAAAATATGCTAAGGCCATCCTAAATAGTCCTTTACCATGAAAATTAATGTAACCATCCATCAGTTCTCCATAATAATTCATTCAGCAGAGCAGCGAGAAGTCTCACATTTCATATTTAGCTATCACTGAGAATGTGTTAAAAGCTTTTTCTCAGACACACTGTCATTTCTACAAATGTCAGGCTTACAGACATGACATGCTTCAGAAGCTCATTTTAATTTGGATAATAACTAAGAGCTTGTCACATGCTAAGTCACTGGAACTATTTCCTACTCAATTTTCTGGTAAAGAAAACAGTAAGCCCTCCCAAGCTTCTTTAATTTTCCTTCTCAGCATTCACCAGCAAAACATGCTATTTTCTATTATTAAAAAAAAGTTTTGGGTATTTTAGGTCTTCTGTATTATTATGTGTCATTTTATTCCTGTTATTAGAGGCTTCTTTTGACTTGTTCCTTAATAGCAACTTCTTATTAGAAACTTAATTCTGCATCTCTCCTGAGAAAGAATGAAATTACTGTATTGATATTTATTTTTCAAGGAGAAACAAAATTTCAAGAAGAGCCTGTGCCAGCACAGAATGTGCAGAAGCTCCTGGGTATATCATCAGCTTCCATAAAGTTTGATGCTTCTATCAAAATGGACTCTGAGAGACTGTCTTAAAGAGAAGATATCTTTGTTTATAGAAGGTGAAAACTAAATAAGAAAACAATATTGTCCCTGAGTCTATGCTACTGAGAGTTATGGTTTTGCCTTAATTAAATATGTTTAATAGAGAAATAAATACTTCCTAGTCACAATTATGTATGCACAGATTGATTTATCTCAAAACAATAGGTAACTTGTGTTCTAGGAGTGTCCCGTAGACATTGGCTCTCCTCCATTGCCCAGATCTCTTCAATGTCTTCATCAAAATCCCAAAACTTAGGAAAAAGCTGAATTTTTAAGGATGGTGTGAACATTGGTGACAGATGGTATTCACACACTGTGAGCATTTGCAAACAGGACTTTGAAGAAGGATCTGAACCTGACCAATTGGTATTTTAACCTCATAGTTTGAATTGAGATGTAAAGAATCTAAGTGATACAAAGAATCAGGGACAAAAAGATTATTATTCCAGGGACAGTGGAAGTGGCCACAGGATCTCTATTTAGCACCAGAAATGAGTTGACCTCTTGAGGTGTAATGTTTGATTATATGGTAACAATATGAGGAATGACATTATTAGTGCTATCTTTATGAGACTGAATCCTTATTTTGGTGGTGAATCTGTTTCTAAGTTTCCTTTAGTTCCCAATAGTTATCAAAGGTGAAACTTCATCCTTCTTATGAATTCCAGGAACCAGTCTAAATGACTATAAACCATTCCTTTTCTGTTACAAAAATATTACAGCAGATTCGATCAGATTTACTTAAGCAAATTATGTTAGTTTTTTTTAAAAATTTCAAATGTGTCAAAGCATGATTTTTCATTAAATTAAGAAAAATATTTGGAAAGTAAAGTTAAGAAAAATTACATAGAAATCTAAAGTCCATTTGTTATTAATAGATTCAACAAGTAGTCAACAGAGTGATCAATCACCATTTGACTAGTACTATGGCAAGGGGCCAGAATGTGACTCTGCGTCACTAACATAATTCTTGGTAGTTCATAAATAAAAGAGAAAGTGAGAAGGAAAAGGGAAAGAAAAGATAAGGAGAGAGAGACAAAAGTTGAAAAGTCATAAGGAATAAAGAAATTGAAACCTTGAACCAAAACTAGAAAAGATACTGCCCTAGGAACCCCAGGTAAATCTAAGTGATTTACTTTTTATAACTATGACATGAAAAATCATATTGTATTCAGTGTATGTGTCTACAGTACTTTGGGTGCCCTCATAAGTTTAAAGGTGTATGATACCTTTAAACCCATAAATTTAAGGGTATATGATAGTTGTCTACATGTTTTTGTTAAGATTTAAAAATAATAAAAGAGCAAATCCAGAATAATGTGTCTATTTTATAGGAAAGTACATTGTCAAGTACATTTCTAAACATGGAAAAACACACCAATTTTAAACAAATAATCCAGTAAACTAACGAGTGTTTCACAGAGTATTTTGGAAGCAAGCAGCAGTAGGAGTAACTGCCATAAAAATGGCAGAGCTTACTAGAAATACGGTGCATTATCCCAGGACCCTTACCTCAAAAATAATTTTTAAAATTGCTCTTACTCCCTCTTTTCCTGGTTATAAACAAGGAGTTTGGACGTGTGCCTTAAAGTAGGAAAATATTGGTAGTCTTAATATTTATATAGTCATTCTTTTGATTTCTTTTTTTGTAACTGTTTCTCAATGTGTCTTACTAACAGTTTTAAGGAGACAGCTCTTCACTGTCCAGGAGTGTGATGGCAGGCTATTTAGTTTCTCTGTCTCCAGAAATGTTAAATGTCAAAACAAATGTATAGTTATGTGATTGCCAGAGTATTTACTCATAGATTTCCAAGCACCCCATTGGAAAAACTTTTATTATTCCTTTACTCTATACAACCATCTCCTTTACGTACTATTTATGTTTATGATATCTATATAGAGCTTATTATAATATTTGTTATGTCAATGCTATAATAAACTCTATAACTATTTTACTTTATGTCTTTCCAAAAACTCTGATTCATATATACTTCTTTTCTTTATGTTTCAGTTGAGGAAACTGGATTTACAGATGTTAGATAAATTGCTGAAGTCAACAGAGATGGCAAATGTTTAGCATTCACATGAAAATATAAGCATATCATAGTCTAGACAAGCAGATAACCTTTGAAGGACAGCATGCTTCTGGAAAGATTAGTGGGTTTTCCATTGCTGCAACAAAATATCTGAAGCACAATATTTTAATTTTTTTTTTGTCTTTTTTCTTTTTATCAGTACCGGGGATCGAACTCACGACTGCCTGCTATCAAGGCAGGCACTTATGCTGCTGAGCTAAATCCCTAGCCCTCAAGCACAATATTTTATAAAGAAAAAGGATTTATTTAGATCAGTTTTGGAGGTGGAAAGTCCAGTTTGTAAGGAGCTGGCCCCTGCAAGGGCTTCGTGGAAGACAGCATTACAGTGGAGCCATATGCAACAGTAAGAGTTCAAACGGTAAGACAGGAGTCTAAGATACAGGAAAAGGACCAGCTTTAGTCTTTTATAACAGTTTTCACTAGGGAGGTCACCAGGGTCCCATGAAGACTACATTTTCTTTCAAGGGTGATGTCTCCAGGTAACCCAGTCACTTGGCACTAGACCCCGAACCCCACCTCTTAAAAGTTTCACCTCTTAAAATCATTACTACAGCAAGGAACAAGTTTCCAACATATGAACCTTTGAGGGACACACACAAGCCATAGCCAGAGCACAGTAATGCAGAGGATACAAGCTGGGAAAGTAAAACCTTCAGAACAACCCCTCTGATGTCCTTAATTATCCATATGCCTTAACCAAAATGCATGGTTTTCCTGTGAGCTTGGAACTCTCTGCTACTTAAAGCTTTTGGGAATCTAGTAAAGCACTGAAGTAGTGAGGAAAGGTCTGCCACCTAACTCAGATTACAATCCTAGCTCCTCGCGATTTTAGGCAATTTTATCAAATTACCTTGTTTCTGCTTTTTCATTTGAGAAATCGGTATAAGACTATGGGGAACCACTTAGACTGCCTCGTAGCTCAGGAGCTCTAAGGATACCCGAGGACGTGACCCCATTTGTGTAGCGCACATGCACAGGGGGATACAATTAGGTAACCACAACAACACAGGTAAACATGCAAGCACTCGTTACTGCACTATTTAACAATGTAAATATGAGTTAGCAGCCTGCATAAGAATTGCATAATTAAGACTCAGGCAGCTCTTGCTGTCTTGTGCTCTGCTCTGCTCCTCGGTACTTATGGTTATTGCTAATGTCATGCACACGTGTCTTCTTTAATCATGGGATCTGACTCAAGAAAATTTCTCTTGGACTCCCAAGCAGGCTAACAAGGGGAGAAAAAAAGTGAATGAGGAGACACATATAAAAGAGAGAGTCTGGAGGCACAGGACACTCAACATCCCATTCTGTAGAAGAAGTTTAGAGAATTCTCTTCCCTCCATCTTAACACCAACAAGCCTCCCTATGTAGCAGTGAACCATAGTTGAAAGAAAAGCAAGATACTCTCTTTAAGAACAACTTAAGGAATTCCAAAAATAATACTTCCCAACCCATGTTATAAGGTCAGTATCATGCTCACATCAGAAGCAGAATAAGGCACTCAAAAGGAAAAAAAAAAAAAAAAAAAAAACACAGGCAAACATCTTTCAGGAACATGAATGTACAAATTTTCAATAAAATATTTTCCAGTCAAAACTATTAAGGTACAGAAGATTGTATTCTAACCCAAGGTGGGATTTAGTCTATGTATGCAGAGATTTTTAAAACCAGTAAATGTATTAAACCATATTAAAAATCCAAAGAATAAAACTCAGGAGATTGGGAAGATGAAGCTCAGGACTAGAATACTTGTCTGGTATGTGCAAGACCCTGGGTTCAATCCCAGCACATAAAGGAAAGAATGAAGAAAGAAAGGAAGAAAATTTATTGTAATATTTCAACTGATGAAGAAAAACAATTTGAGAACTTCAAAACTCATACATGATAACTGTTCTCTTATTCTACTATGAATAGAAGAGGAAGCTTCTCAGTTTGATAAAGCACATCTATGAAGACTAGAATTATATAACATTTAACAGTGAAATGCTTGTACTTTTTTTTTCCTGTGATGAGGAGCAAAGGATATTTTTTTTTTACCAGTCCGCTCAATATTATATTGCAGGTCTTAGGTAAGATATTCAATGAGACATGACCAATGAATAAAACCTAAACATACTGAGGGAAGTATTAAAGCTGTCTTTATTCAAAATAAATTTTGAAAAGAAAAATTCTGTAAATGATAGGTATATATAGAAAGATAGTATGGTGCAGCAATAATGCAAACTTCAGTATTCTTGTATTGTTTTCTTGTATTCTCAAAATGAACAATTTAAAATTGAAAAGAAAATTACAATAAAATTAAAGAGTTAATTAAAAATAAAGTTAGGCAACGATCAAACAAGTATTGGTAGTTTACATATGTAAAATGAATAAGACATTAATTAAAGAATAATTAATAAAGAGGAAGACATTAATAAAAGAATATGTAAATAATTGAACAGATATTTTGTGTCCATAGGTTGAAACATAGAAAATCAATATTGTATAATTTTCCTAAGTTAATATCTATGTCTATAAACAAATGTAGTCATATATATATATTTGAAGTAGATAAATACAGTGAATATTTGAATTAAAATCATATTTACAGTAAAAAATACATTATCACTAATCTCCCTCAAAATGGTCCCCATTGCTTTGCACATTCCATCATTCTTGCTGCTTTTTTGTTTGTTTTTGTTTCGTACTAGGGATGGACCTTGTGCAGGCACTTACACAGCTGAGCTAAATCCTTGGCCCCTTCTTGCTGCTTTCTAAAGCAGTCCCAAAGTCCTTTTTTATGAATGTATTGTTATGTCTTTTTTGATGTCCTGAATCAATTCAAAGCACTACAACAATTTATGCCAGATAAAAACTTTACAATACCTCCTCCAACTTACTCACTGAATCTGGCACTGTGTGACTCGTGACTCTTCTCCAAA